GATGGACTCAACTTTGATGGTATAGACGAACCTACACCAATCTCACAAATTGATAAGGTGGAAAAGCAAAATAATTTAGCTATAAATGTTTTCGGACATTCTTCTAAAGGAATTGTTATACACATGATAAGCTCCGCCCCAGAACATATTCCCAGAATCAATTCATTTCTGATCGAAAAAGATGGTAAATATCATTATGCGTGGATAAAGAGTTTAAACAGGCTATTATACGATCAAACAAAACATAAGGAAAAGAAATATTTCCGCGAAAGATGCCTGCATGGGTACTGCAGACAAGATCTATTAGAAGCGCATAAAGAAGACTGCAGAGGTGTTGGACAGAATACTATCAGGACTGATATGCCTAAAGAGGGTAAAAATATATTAAAATTTGAACATTATTGTAAACAAATGCCAGTACCGTACGTAATTTAAGCCGACTTTGAAGCACTAAAAATGAATTCTCAAACAATACCCATCCCTGTTGTGTTTCATAACCTTAGAGGATATGATTCACATCTCATTATGCAAGCTATCTCAAAGACCGACGGCGGCTTAACATGTATTCCTAACAATATGGAAAAATATATATAATTCTCGTTGACTAAAACTGTACATTTTACAGACAAGGATGGGAAAGCCAGAATAAAGCAAAGTAATGGGCTTAGATTCATAGACTCCGTACAGTTTCTGTTATCTTCCCTGGACAATTTAGCTTATGCGAACAATCCCGATGACTTTGCAATAACAAATCAATATACCGATCGGTGTCGTCATTTGTTGTTGAGAAAAGGTGTATATCCTTACGAATATATGGATGATTGGTCTAGATTCGACGAAACTAAATTACCACCCCTTGAATCATTCTAAAGTAACTTAACAGAATCTAAAATAACCGATGCCGATTATGAACTCGCTCTAACGGTGTGGGATAAATTAGGTTGTAAGAATTTAGGCGTTTATCATGATCTGTACTTACAAACCGATGTACTGTTACTCGCCGATATATTCAAGATATTTCGAAAGACATGTTTAAAACAATACGGCTTGGACCCGGCATGGTACTATTCCAGTCCCGGACTATCGTGGGATGCATTGTTGAAGAAGACCGGTGTAGAACTAAAATTACTCACAGATTACGATTTGCACTTGTTTATTGATAAAGGATTAAAAGGTGGTATATCGATGGTAGGGAAAAGGTATTCTAAGGCTAAAAGTAAATTAGTGGAAGGATATGATCCGAGTAAACCCGATACTCATATATTATATCTCGATGCCAACAATTTGTATGGATGGGCTATGAGTCAACCTTTACCCACGGGTGGTTTTGAGTGGGTCGATGTGAATGATATCGATGTGAATGATATCCCCTCAGATTCTGATAAAGGGTACATACTAGAAGTTGACTTGGAATATCCAAATTCGTTACATAAAGATCATAACAGTTATCCGCTAGCTCCTGAAAGATTAATGATGAATAAAGATAGGATGTCGGAGTATCAACACTCCTTGATGTGTAATACTAGCTAACATAGAAAAACTTGTACCAAATTTGATGGATAAGACAAAATTGTTGCGAGGTGTTATATACCGACACAGATTCTTTTTTGATGCAAATACAAACCGAGGATGTATATAAAGATATTGCCGAAAAAATAGATATGTACGATACAAGCGATTACCCCAAAGATAATCCACTGCACAGCGCAGTAAATAAAAAGGTATTAGGTAAGATGAAGGATGAAGGTGCTGGGACCCCTATAGCGGAGTATGTCGGATTAAGACCGAAGATGTATTCTATAAAGAAGTCCGATAATGGAGAGATAAGACAAGCTAAGGGTGTTAAGAAGTATGTGGTAAAAAAGCATATCAAACACAAACAGTATAAAGAAGCATTATTCAACTGTAGAACATTCAAACACGAGATGAACTCTTTAAGAAGTTACAATCATAGGATATATGGATTAAGAATGAGCAAGACATCAGACCGCCTCCGTGGTCTAGTGGTAGAGCATCTGCCCGGAGAGCGGAAGGTCCTGAGTTCGATCCCCTTCCGTGTCATACCAAAAGACGTTAAAAGATGGTACTTGTTGTTACCCTGTCAGGCGCTCAGCATTAAGGGGCTAAAACAAGGACTGGTCAGCTCGGAGTCAGTATACTGTGTCTGAGTGTGGTGTTCATGTTAAACTGCTGCATGGTATTTCAGTGTGCTAGCACTATAAATCGGCATCAGTCCGGACTAGTACAAGCAGCCACACACACACACACACACACACACACACACACACACACACACACGTGCATGCACGTCGATATATCAGTGCAATAATCTTGGACGCAACGTTAAACCCAATTTCACCTCACCTCACAAGACATCATTATCCCCCTTAGATACAAAGAGATGGATTGATAAGGATGGTGTAACTACCTATGCTTATGGTTATGGTGGTAATACTGTATCGTTGGGAACTATGAGCAACTCTTCTCGTACAAATGCCCTGTCCGGTCCATCTTTAAGATAATAAATAATAGGCTCTCCTTCTTTCATAACCAATCGACGAATGTTATATACCTTAAGGGACCAAATCGGATCGGTTGCGCGACGTAGGCCTCCTTAGTTCACCGGGCTGGTATAAATATCTTATGCTTACTCTATCCGAAAGTTTTTGTTCCTTGCCTCTCCGCAGTGCTGAAGATTCGGAAGTCACGGATTTCATTTTCATCGCATCGGATGGTTTCTTCCCTATTAATCTCGTTACTTCATTATTCAGCGCTGATACATCAGCTGATAATCGTGTCACCTATTCGGTTGATCTTAATCGTTCTGATTTCATTTCGATCCTATACTGATAGCCAAACAAACGTTCCGCTAATGTCCGGTTAAATCTTTCGACGATAGCTTGACTACGGTGGGCCTCTTTTTCACCACGCCTGATTTCGACATCGTGCTTTGTTAACAGTTTAGTTACTGATCCCATTAACTCGCGACCAGGCTCTACTTGAAATAATTTGGGCCATTTTAGTGATTTATATATGCGGCTCAGTGCATTAGCTACTTCTGTTGACTCTTTCGAGGTTAATGGCTCAGCCTCTTTGTATCGACTACAGTGATCGCTCGCTATTGCGCTCTTCGATAAAGCGCTACTTCGGTTATTACGCGCGGTAACGCATGGCTCCCAAAATTTATGTACACTTTTATTACTGAGAGTTTTACACAGACATAATTGTATTGTTGTTCGTTGTCCATTTGCACATAACGCTTCTCATTGCATAATCAACCGTTTATCGCTGAATGGAGTTCTAATAATCTGTTTGAAAACATCCGCGGCAAGTCCCGGAAATACGATTGTTCAACTAGTTAACTTTTCACACTATACATCCTTTGATCTTAGAAGCGCATGCATGCAATAAAAGAGAACCACAAGCGAAGTTTATATTCTTAATTAGTGGGCAATCCAATTTAAGGCTAAACTGTCACACACATGTAGTTGCTGTCACAACACGGCGGTCATTCATTTCGTAATCGCGCTTTCGTAACATCGCCTGTTTTTCCCCGTAGTTATAACAAGCGATTTCATTGGATTAAAATTCGTTTCTAATGACGCTTTCTTGCCGAAATCTGCTACAAGTTTCGTGATTGGTCAATTTTGAGCACGTGACCTCAGGCAGCCAATCAAGCTGTGATACCAAGCTCGTGTTTGATAAATTTCAGAAGTTAGCGAAAGATTTTTTGTTAAATCGTGTTATTCTGAACGTTTTAAGCAGGAAATCACGATATATATTAAAAATATGGAACTTCGCGAATGTATCGTGCTAGGTTACGAGCTGTGACAAAGATTTTTCATGCATATATTTTTGCATTAAACGTTGTGTCCGAGCCGAGAATTCAAGGCGACGAAAGCCGAGATGTCATTTGACTTACATTACACGCGATCGCACGAAACGATGGAAATAATAACTTAGATGTAAGTTTGATTACTTTTAGATATATTTTTGTTGATTTTATTTATCACTTTGTATAATATATTTAAAGATTTGCTTAAAATAGTCTTTATTTTGCTCTTTGACATGTTCGATGCGGACCCGTTGTCGAAATGTGTGTCCGAGAATTTTATTTTCAATAACATCGCGGGAAATAGTGAATAATTTTTTAATTTATTGATAAAAAATGATAAATTAGAATGGAATACGTATTTCAGACATTGTGAAATATGACAGATTTAATAAATGAATGATATTACAGGTAGATCTAGGTCCATAAAAATATATACTATTTTGACGTGAAGTGAGATAAACACATAGGCCTATTGATGATTTGAGATTTGCCGAGCGCGCTCCCCCGCCTCGGCCTCGGTTAAACGGCTCATCGTCTATAACGCCCACCAATTATTTGGACCCCATTGGTAGCGCAATAGCGAGCGATCACTGTAGTCACATCCACTACGGTTAAAGCGTATTACTACGTTTTGTGTCTTACCTTATCATGGGGAAGAAACAAGAGGTCAGCTTGATGAACTTCATTTGTTGTAAAAATATCAAACTTCTTCCTCGGTATATATCGCGGTGCCGGTAAGTATATTTGCCACATCGCTTGTTTCTTTAACCAATCCTTGGCCACATCTTTAGATACCTTAGCCGCAGTGGCTAATTTTTTTATTGCTCCTATACCTTTCCAATATCCTCGTGGGCTATAGTAAATTTTATTCATTATTAATTAATATTGATGTTACTTTCAATACGTCTCATGATGATCGTTGAATCGCATCATCATTTTGACATAAAAAATTCCATCTGTAGTAGTGGTTTAGGTATATAAATCTGGCTCCAGTGGAAGTGGTCCAGAACCCCCATTACCTATACTACTACTGGCAATCCGTCCGATGCTTCACGCCCAGCCACCTTGGACCTGTCAGTCAAGGCTGTTCTACCTCATAAATCCTTTCCTGTGGATCCTACACTTAGCAGCATTCGACCATTACATCAACTTCTCTTCCCAGCAGCTGTTTCCATTCATTGACAAGGCAGTCGAGGTCACCACGCCATTCTTCACAGGCCCATTGGGAGCATTCGCCATCATCCCCAGCACAGTCTGTCTCCTCCTGATGCCATGCTGGTTCATCGTCGCAGCCCGCTCATGCCAGCACTCCTCATGGGGCATTGTTTGTTGTTTGACGTGGCGTTCGGCGGTATTGAAGCTACATAACAGCGATGTGTAAATAATCAAGTCTTGATAAGAATATCCAGTTACTGACAACATGTTTGTTTGTTTGTTGTTTGACATCATGAGCATAGATCTACGCATATTGAATACGACAAAATGCATCAAACAAGTCACAGAATCTCTCTCCTCTCTCTCCCCCTCCATTGTTGTTGTGTCATGCAGAGACATCATCCACCTTTCATGTGGATGACATGGATCTGTTCTCCATTGACACAGCAATATGTTGGTGGCTTCTGCCTCTTTCAGTGACCAAGCTGGTGAATCAAGCATTACTTGCTGCTCTCAACTATCCCAATGATGCCCTCAACTATCCCCATGATGTGGCATAAGGCAACGTTGGACCAACACCTTGCCAATAGACCGATCCAGTCCCGACCAATAAGCCCCGCCCACAAGCTGCCGTCCTCGTTTTAGGCGTTAGGGGGAACAACCACTGGCTATTCACTGTTGTGTCACAGCCGGCAAAACTTGAATGGGCGGGCGATGAATTTGGCTCAGAATGCTTTGTTTACCAGTCGTGTGTCAAATATATCTAAAGAGAGTTATACCTGACTTGTTTTGGGTTCTATTTTATTTGTCAAATTGCATATGGGGAGTGAGAATGAATCATAAGTCTGATGTAATGGTGTATCGTGTTACGTATTGATGGCTTGAGAGTTACCTCCCTTACTGTACGCACATATGCATTACGTCACTGTTAGCGTCGTCTGATGGCGTTCTGGAAGCTGAGAAGTAAATCCAATGACCAACCACTAATATCTGTTATAACTTGGTAGTTATGAAGTCTGGTAGCATCAAACACTTAACATAGTGTCAGAAGTATTCTGGCTGTTTCTGTTCCCTGTCTGACTGACCGCGTGCGTTTTTCATGCATGTCACCTATTTTCGTGATACCGATACGGCGTGGTAAATCTACTGAACTGTGTCATATTTCATTGATATATTGATATATATTGAAATTTGATATATACTCTGACTGTAAGGGATTTCAACCAGTAATCTGAACTGTTTCTGATATGATCTATGAGAACAACGGTGTTTTCTATCTGAACTGACTGAATACTATTCTGTGTGTAATTGAATCTACGGAAAGCCATTACGCCATATTGCTTGATTACTGTTTTTGACTGATCATGGCAGAAGGTAATCAGGCTGCACCCCAAGTTGTTCACATACCAGTTAACATTCCACTGCCTACTAGATTAGATCTGAAAAGGTGATCTGTCTAGAAATTTAAAGAAATTCAAACGAATGTGGGAAAATTATAAGCTTGCTTCTCGCACTAGGACTGATAGTGAGGAATGTCGGTCGACTACCCTATTGGTCCAGATGTCTTAGACATTGTAGATGGATTAGAATTTTAAAATGAAGCAGATAGACACAAGGTGGACAAAATACTGGAAAAACTTGAACATTATTGTATAGGGGAAACAAATGAAACTTGGGAAAGATACAATTTCAACAGAAGGGACCAGGAACAGTCCGAGTCCATTGATTCTTATGTTGCAGTATTAAGAAATCTTGCAAAAAGTTGCAACTTTGGGGATTTAGCGGAGTCATTGACCCGTGACAGGATGGTAATGGGCATCCGCAATAATGCAACAAGAAAGAGATTGTTAAAGGACTGCATAGATATTTGTAGGTCGCATGACAGTGCGACGAGACGTCTGAAATCACTATCGCAAGCTGAAGATGTTCAGTTTGTAAGTCAAAGGAAACCCAACAAGTCACAGAAACCAAATGCTAAGCAACAGATCAAAACATCTGAACTGCTAAAATGTAATTTCTGTGGAAAGAGGCATGAGTTTCAAAAGAAAGAATGTCCAGCATGGGGTAAGACTTGTGCAAAATGCAAAAAGAGAAATCACTTTGCTGCTTTGTGTCCTGGAAAGAGCAAAGACAGGGTTCACATGAGGGATAGTGATACTGAAGATAGTGAGTCTGAAGAGTTTGTAATGTCTGTAACTTCTGACTGTGTCAATTCTGTACAAGTTGATGAGATGAACTTGGTCAATCAGAATTACCCCAAAAAGATATTTGCAACATTGGTTGTGAATAGAGAGGAAGTTGAATTTCAACTTGACTGTAGGTCAACTGTTAATATTCTGCCTTCTTCTGTGTATACTCAAGTGTTCAGGGATGACAACTTCAGTAAATTGGACACTAATCTGATTTCCACACTGCGAATGTACAACACTGCTGAGACATAACCTCTCGGGAAGAGACGTGTGTCACTACAAAACCCCAAGAATGGCCGCATCAGGTACAGTGTTGAGTTTCTAATTGTGTCTGAGAAGAGTTGCAAACCAATATTAGGGGCACGAGCTGTCCAACAGATGCAACTGATCACTGTGATCTTTGACAATATTCTGTTGATGGAATCACCTGAGGTGAATCTAACTTCCGACTCTTCACTTGACCCTGGGAAACTGGAAATGACTGATATCGAACAAAATTATCAGGATTTGTTTGATGGTGAGGGAACTCTGGAAGGTTTTCTACACTTGGAGGTTGACAATACTGTAACCCCAGTACAGTTACCATGTCGCAAGATTCCTGTTGCTGTACAATCTCAGCTGAAATCTGAACTGAAAAGACTGAGACCTTTGACACCTTACACCTGTGGACATACCAACAGACTGGGTGTCAGCTCTGGTTGTGGTGCAGAAACCGAGGACCAACAAAATCAGGATCTGTATCGATCCGAAACCGTTAAACAAGGCACTTAAGAGAAACCATTATCCGATAATGACTATAGATGATGTGTTGCCAAATGTTTCTCTTTAGTGGATGCCAAAAATGGGTTCTGGCATGTTCAGTTGGATGAACAGAGCAGTTACCTGATAACGTTTGAAACTCCCTGGGGAAAGTACCGTTGGCTCCGTATGCCGTTTGGCCTCTCACCAGCTCCTGAAGAGTTCCAACGACGACTGAATGATGCCATATCTGGACTGGATAGTGTTCGTGCAATTCATGACGATATCTTAGTTTATGGCGTGGGAGAAACTGATCAGGATGCTGAGGTCGATCATGACAAGAAATTGATCGCCCTTTTTGATTGTTGTCGAGCAAAGGACATCAAACTGAATCAGTCTAAACTGAAGTTGAAACTGACAAAAGTGCCCTATCTGGGTCATGTACTAACTGGACTCCAAATTGATAAGACCAAGGTTGAGGCTATCAAGAAAATGCCTTCACCTACTGACAAACAAGGTGTGCAACTCATCTTGGGGATGGTCAACTATGTGCAAGAGTTTGTACCCAATCTCTCTTAAATCACCGCTCCACTGAGAGATCTGCTGAAAGGTGATGTGTACTTTCGATGGGACAACACTGTACATAGACAGTGTTTGGAGAAGATTAAGCACATTCTGTCAGAACCTCCTGTTCTGAAATATTTTGATAACGAAGCTGTCACATATCTCCAATGTGATGCTTCACAAAGTGGCCTCGGAGCATGTCTTATGCAAGATGGACAACCAGTGGCATATGCGTCCAGATCAATGACAAGCACAGAGCAACATTACGCTCAGATAGAAAAGGAAATGCTTGCAATAGTCTTTGGACTGGAACGTTTTGATCAGTATGTGTATGGACGCAAGGTGACTATAGAGACAGACCACAAACCCTTAGAGTCCATCCTGAAAATGAGCCTCCTGAGCGCACCTAAAAGGCTGCAACGCATGATGCTACGGTTGCAGAAGTACGACTTTACAGTGGTGTACAAGAAAGAAAGCCTGATGTTCATGGCTGACACATTAAGTCGTGCATACTTACAACATGACAGACAATTGATCACTGACGAAGGCCAAGTGTTGATGATAGACATGAGGAGCCCAACGGCTATTGACATTGAGACAATTCAAATGGTCGATCATTTATCCATATCTCAATAGAGACTAGCTGAACTGAAACAAGCCACAAGTCAAGATACCTGCATAAGCAAACTGATGCAGCTCACACAGCAAGGATGGCCACCGTCAAAGGAAGATGTACCACACTCAGTACGTGAGTACTTTACCTTTCGGGACGAACTCTCTATGCAGAATGGCGTAGTATTCAAGGGCGAGCGTATTGTTGTACCTGCAAGTATTCGTGGCAACATCATGGAGAGAATTCACTCAAGCCACATTGGTGTGCAAGGGTGTATACGACGAGCAAAAGAACTTGTCTACTGGCCAAACATGGGACAGGAAATAATAGATCTTGTAAGCAAGTGTGAACCCTGCAATACCCTACAACAAGAACAAAGCAGGGAGCCTTTGATCAGTCATCAAATTCCTACTCGTCCCTGGGAGAAACTGGGATGCGATTTGTTCGAGTTTGATCAGAAAGACTTTTTGATTACTGTGGACTATTATTCCGACTTCTTCAAAGTTGACAGGCTCCACAGCAAGCAAGCTCCTGAAATCATCAAGAAGCTCAAGTCACATCTAGCTAGACATGGGATTCCGGATCAGATTATCTCCGATAACGGTCCACCGTTCAACTCTGAAGCTTTTCGTAAGTTCTCAGACAACTATGAATTTGAGCATGTTACGTCATCACCTCATTACCCACAATCCAACAGGAAAGTTGAAAGTGCGGTGAAGATAGCTAAGAAGCTGATGACAAAGTCACTACATGCCCAAACTGATCCTTACTTAGCTCTCCTGGACTGGCGAAATGTTCCGACAGAGGGAATAGGATTTTCTCCTGTACAGCGACTCTTTAGCAGGAGGACAAAGACCAAACTCCCAACTGCAAGTACACTTTTACAACCAAAGACCGTTGATGGTGTGTCAGACAAGATAGCTTGTAAAAAATCTAAACAAGCTTAGTACTTTAATAGAGGCACCACCGAACTTCCTGTTTTGAAGGAGGGAGATGTGGTAAGAGTTAAGCCTACTTAGTTTGACAAACAGTGAAAGAAAGCTGTTATAGAACAGGTGGATGTGAGGTCGTATGAACTGCGTACAGAAGATGGCAGTAACTTGCGCAGAAACAGACGACATTTGAGAAAGTCTCATGAAGCTCTTCCATTGTTTGTGGATACAGATGTGGCTGAAAGGAACCTGTTAGAACCAGATCTGAATGTGGAAAGAACATCCGCTGAAACTCCTATGAGCAACTATACTGACAAGCCTGTAGTACAAACATCAAGCAAAACTACAGAGAGAGTTCAGATTCCTGCACAGACAACTAGACTGTCAAGTGAGACAACTGAGAAGAGAACTTCTCGTGGTCGTGTGATCAAACAACCATCTAGATTCAGAGGCTATCTTACAAATTAAGAACTTTAAAGTAAAGCTGTTTTGCAGTAAAATTGTGTTATGGACTGTGAGCCTTTTTAAAAGGACGAGGAACTGTTTAGTTTTATGTTATGAACTGTGTGCCTTACTAAGGACAAAATCAATTCATAACTGTTATTGTGTTGAAAGTTTGGGAAGTGTTTCAAATATACCTTCTGTTTTCAGCTACTGAGCTGTTAAGGACAAAGACTCATTTTACCATTAGTATTGCATTAATGTTTCAAGACTTTAAAGGTTACCCTTAAAAGGGGAGATGTTACGTATTGATGGCTTGAGAGTTACCTCCCTTACCGTACGAACATATGCATTCTGGAAGCTGAGAAGTAAATCCAATGACCAACCACTTCTATCTGTTATAACTTGGTAGTTGTGAAGTCTTGTAGCATCAAACACTGAACTCAATGAGGAAGTCACCATGGCTGAAAGTTAGAAGCGTACACTACTTCGAAGCACTCATGTCAGGCAGACCATACTATATTGTCAATTTACAGCATGTCAATAATATATTATTTCATCCACGGGCGGAGTAACTAAATTTTGTTTTAACTTTCCATCGTAATTTAAGTGTATGGAAAGTACTGGAAACCGTTAACACAAGCACAAGTTACAAATCATGTGAATATCTATAAATAGATTGTCAACAGTTACATTACCCATGTTTTTTGTCTGGTGCTCTAAGTAAAACCAATATAACCTGAAAGGCTTAGAGTTAGTGGGTCGTTTAATGAATAAACATAAAAAAAATAGTTGATAAAATCAAAGCAGTACATTATTTCCCCTCACTGCTACATTGGTTTTTATTATATAATAGTTGAATCATAACATATATTTCATTTGGGCATCTGGAACATGGGGCTGGGCATGTCACCAGGGATAAGTCTAGACCTGCTCAGAGGCTGATATTCAGCCCCAAATCTGTATCAGATGTCAGTAAACTTTCATGCAGAATGTAAGGAAAATATACATTATAAGTCTTTTCCCCAATCTGTTTGCAAGGGCACTTTGTTTGGAATTCTAAATTTAGATAAAAATCCTTGGTCACACTTCCAGAACATTGGACTTACTAAACTGCCAGTATTTAGGTACATTGATGTGAGAACAGTTGAAAACATTGAGAGGTTCCGAGATAAAATGAGCACCTGTAACTGCCATGGTTATATCAAATCAATCAGATCCATGTTCCAGAAAAGGGAAACCTTTGTTGGTAAAAGTATCTTAAGACAGGGGTCTGCAGAACTTCACATAGATTAACTTGCATTGATAAAATTTACAACACAAATTAAAATTCATATATGATCTTTTATTCAAAAGACTTTTCATGAATCCAAGAATTATTACTGTGAGCAACTATAAACATGTAAATTAAGTACAACAAATTATCTCATAAGGAAGAGAATTTATGGATGTCAACTTCTTAATTGTGAGGATCACCACCATCCTTAAATTCTCTTCCTTATGTGTAACACTTCTAAATGCCATCCAAAGACTTAAATATGTCATAAGTTCCAAGTTTTAATCAACAAAATTACCTGCTGACATCATGACTGTAATAATGATAAGAAATAATTATTTTATTGCTCCAGAAACCACATGCCTATAGGACATAACACTAAATAATATATATTTCATTTTACAAATCACATGTGAAGTGACAAGTATTAATTATGCATGAAACAACATACATAAATGCAAATATCAGGTAGCTGGACGCCTGGAGTTCATTAGATATTTTAACATATATCCCAAGTATGCCTCGCAATACTGGTGTGAACATGACCTTTCCTTAAATAATGAAAATACACACAAACAGGGATTCAGACCAGTTTCTTTTCTAGGATACTCACTGATTGTCATCCATAATGTCCTAAAGTTGTTCTAAAATTTGGTAAAGTGATATCAAAAGATAAAAACCCCACTTGAAAAAGTCCTGAAGCCAGCAAAATCACTGTGAAGTAAATATAAAGCTCATTCTCAACATAATCATAACCAAAACTTGAACAATATGTAAATAACCAACAGGCTTAATAAACACTAGCTCTTGCTCAATCATCAAATATTGACAATCTCCTCAAATCAAGGTAAAGAATTACATTTTGGGTTAAATACATTTCAATATTCACAGTTATAAACTAGTGTCCAAAAGAAACGATACCAACTTATTTTCAAAATTGTTTTTTTACTAAGTGAATTGTCAAGTATGAAAACATGCCAATTCGTATTGCACATCCCAAACACAGCATAGTCGATAAAAAATACCGGGAACACGTGATCACTTCCGGGAAAAACGTAAATTTCGTGAAAGTGACATTTCCCTCTCTAGCATGTTCTGCACGTGCAGAAAAACTGTATAAAACGGCTGATCAGACACGTTGATATCACAGCAACAAAAAGAACACAAGATATGCCACGTTTGACAGCCATCGAGAGAGAGAGAGCCGTTGGAATGGTCCAACAAGGAGCGTCACACGTCGACGTCGCCAGAAGGTTGGGCTGCGCACGCATCACTATCACCAGGTTGATGCTGCGGTTACGTCAGACAGGTCAGACGTCAGACAGGCCCAGGAGTGGAAGACCACGAGTAACCACGCCCCGTGAAGATCGTTACATCCGGGTATTACACCTGAGGAACCGCACCGTAACAGCAACGTCCACGGCGGCTACAGCACTGGGACACAGGATCAGTCGACAGACCGTCTACAGGAGACTACGGCAGTATGGTATCCGGCCACGTCATCCCTACCGCGGACCGCTCCTGACGCCTCGACACCAGAACAACAGACTGATCTGTCGAGCACTTTCACTTGCAGTTAGGAACGGGTGTCGCTGGTGTTGATGGGTAATCTGCCAATCTGCCAATCTTGTCGAGGTGTGGTGACCCTAGGACGACCGCTCCGAGGAAGGTCATCTGTGGTCTGTGTAGCATTATATCGATGCAGGAGACGGTAAATTGCGGTTATGTTAACGTTGAAATGACGGGCAACATCTTGGACAGACTCTCCAGCTTCCAAACGATAGCCTGGTTTCTCTGAATTTGAGTTAGGCGTGGCATTGTTGACCAAGAAGTGGTAGGTCCAAGAATCGGCCACAGTTTTATACCCAGTACAGTTCGTGACAGTTCGTGCATTTTCGATTTTGCGAGAAATGGGTGCATGATACCCACATATTCATTGAAAGGGTGCGTTTTGGCGATTCGTTGTTTATGTTGCATTTTTACTCGGGGCTTCCAAAATGCAACCAAAAATATTGATAACACCATCAGGCTTCACTACATGCTAAAACTCGTATCAATTTATGGTTCCGTGTTTGTTACCTATTTGCTTAAAACCATTTGTGTTTCTTTTGCGTGTGAGTATACAAGTGATGACAGTTCATCATAAAATATAGGACGTTGTAAGATACATAAAGCACAAGATGCTGCAGCTAAGGTAGTAGTTGTTTGTGCACTAAAATAATAAATTTAACATTTTGTGCAGCAAACAATGGAATATAATAACATAATTTATTTACATTGGAGACAATGGGGCGCTCCCCCGGTTGCAGGTGCGAGTGGGTCATAAACCCAAGTGATAGGATATAGAGAAAGAGTACCTCGAGGATCGTGGATAGGATAGGGATAGGATTCCAGTATTAGTAAAGATATAACCTTGGAGGTGGTGATCCCCGGGTGTGAGGTTAGGGATAGGAACCCAGTATCATTAAAGATGTACCCTTGGAGGTTGTGAAACCCCGGGTGTTAGGTAAGGGATAGGATCTCAGTATTAGTAAAGATGTACCCTTGGAGGTTGTGAGCCCGTGGTGTTAGGTAAGGGATAGGATCTCAGTATTAGTAAAGATGTACCCTTGGAGGTCGTGAAACCCCGGGTGTTAGGTTAGGTTAGGGAGAGGTATATGGTATAAGTTGGGGGCTACAGACGCCCAAAAGAGAGGTTGTGTAGCAACCGAGTGACTCCAAGGAAAAAATAGATGGAAAATGCCTGAATTGCAAAATAATATGTAATGACTTATAACAAAGTTTAATAGCATCAGTCCTGTGTACACATGCCGTATAGTCTGTATCACAGCGAGCACTGGGTGGCAGTAGCAGGGGTATGGAACTTACGACACATTGTCTTGTGTATCCTCACTTAGCACATAGTGTAGTCCATATACTGTGCTCTACACGATTGGGTACAATAGACAATACAGAAGAGTCCTGAGATGATTTGGCACTTATAAAATGTCACACACAACTAACGGTCATGATTAAACATAGGAGATGAGAACGATGCTTCACAACCATCTAAATATATGCACAAACTGACATGGTAGACTATGGCACCTCGTCAGGTTGAAGTCGAGCGTATGCATGTCACACAGTACATAGGGAGACCTGGGCTTGGTGCAAGGTAGCTTCGGGGGTTCGGATATACCGAGTGAAGCAGTCAGAGCTCCACCGTCCTAGAGTCTTGATAAGGTGGTCCTCTAGACGAGCTTGAGCTGCCGTCATGGCCGCACCAATCCGGAAAGAGTGTCCTGAATACCCACTGGAA